AAAAAGAAATGTAGAAAGAAACAATAAATTTGTGAACCGTCCAATTTTTTACGAGTTCGATATTTTGAATATTACAAATACTGCAAATATTGCGAATATTGCTTATTTATTAATGTTGTGGATATTACGAAACTTATGAATATTGCGAAACTTATGAATATTGCGCCAGAAGTTTAAATGTCAGAAAATGAGAGCGCGCCTTCTATGAAAAGAGGCACTTTACAAGTAAACCAGCAATTATTTAAAAAAATGTAATTAAAAAGATATTATGTCATAATTCCGGGCTACTACTGGCCGATGATCTGTAAGCTGCAAAAAATACCACAAAAACTCAAGTTAAATAAAAACACACGAATAATCGAAAACCACACAAACACAGAACTGAAAAAATCTACAACTGAATTAAAATAGTTCCCCAAAACGCAAAAAATAGGTAATCTTTTGGTTTCAGAGTACCGTGAACAGCGCACCTGGCAGTGTGGCATCAGAATTTGCATCACTCAATCAGTGGACTGTATCGGATATTCGCCGTGTTCAATCGGAAAATGCTGTTGGCCACGCTTACTTCGGAAATCCATCACAAACAAGTGTTCCCAGACAAGCTGCTTTTGCTCTTCAGGATCGTGCCGATCATCAAGCTCAATCTCAAAAATCACGCCCGGCTGTGCAGCCAATGCACGATCTTGAACCGTATCTGTTTTCACTGCAGGAATATCAGGCCAAAAATTTCCCAAGATCTCATGATTATTTGAAAAGTGAAGAAAGCAGTGCTGCTTCAGAGAAACCTATTGCATATCAGCTAGCCAGACAAGAAACGCCAGTTTGTAACTCGATTTGCGAAATTTCCATGCCGTCGAATAGTTTACTCAGGGAAGTACCACAAAAGCCACCGGTAACTCAGTCAGTGCCATCACAGACGCAGAGAAATCTGCTTGATCCGGCAGTTGCAGCATGGATTAAAGCCACGCTCGTTGATTTAACTTTTGACATCGAAGACAACCAACGACAACAGCTGAATTATTGGCCAACGGCCATCGATGCCGGGCATATGCAACGATATGATGGACACAGTTGTACAGGAGACAGCCGTTCAGAAATCCGGGCGAATGCTAATTACGATAATCGTGGTGAAGTTGGGAATCGACATGATGGCGATAGCGAAAGTACCGGACATGA